GTAATATTAAGTAATATTAACAATAACCAAACAAAAAAAAAAAAACAAGTAAACCAGCACGATGGAGCTCCTTAACTAAAATGTTGAGCAATACTTTGAGGGAATCACTGCAATCAGGTGATTTCTTAAATGTTCAGTCAGATCTTCTCCTGTTAAAGGTTTGTTGGTGAAATGTTCATGTGCAAGGTGCTCTAATGTGTCTGGGACTGTTTTTTTAAATAATTATTATTTTTAAAAATCACAATTCAAAATCAATATTTCAATCTATCAAATCATAACTTTGTATTTTTTTATTTATAAATTTTTTTCAGTTTGCTATTCATTAGAATTACTGTGGTGAATTTATCCCTTTTTTTATCCGAAGTGTGTCTAAATTTTAGGCACTTAGCAAGTTTCAAAAATGTAGAAAATGTATGTAGAAAACAAATAAATGTATCTTGCCTGTCCAGAAATCTGCCTGGGTGCTCAGCACCCCTAAACCTCTGAACATAGAATCGCCCCTGCAGCAGAATAACATTTCTCATTCATTTGATCAAATTGCAAAAGTCTTTGTTCATTTCTCATGTCTCTCAGGGCTTCTTTGCAAATTTTGAAGCACAAGAATCCTACAGTTAGCATAGTTAGCCTACATTTACCACATTTTCCAAAAAAAAAAAAAAAAAAAAAAAGGATATTGCAGATCTAATTTGTTGATTCCCGTTAAAACATGTCAGTACTGTCAGGGTCTATGGGGTTTTGTAGAAGACCCAAAGGCTCAGATGTTTCCTGCAGATTTAATGAAGAGGTAGAAGTATTAATCCAAAAATTACTGACAACTCAGGAATCAAAACTAGGAGATGCACAGAAGAAACAACCAAGAGAATGCAGCCACGAAGAACTGCACATGAGGTACAAGGGAGATAATCAGTTGATAGGGAGCAGCTGTGGACATAAGCGACTAGAAATGAGCAAAGGGGAAAGCAAAAGGACACTAGAGGGCAACAAAGAATAACCAGGGAAAACCACAGGATCTACAGTAACTGTTACTAGAAAATAACTTAAATAAAGCTAGATGAAATTAAACTGATGACTACAACTGAAACTACACTAAGAAAGAAATAATATTCCAATGCTGAAAATAGATAACTGAAAGAAATAAGAAAAAGTAAAACTAAGAATTCAAAAATAATATAAATCTTGACAAACACAGAATATCATAAAAATAAAGCATAACTGAGAACCCTAAAAGAACAGCTAAACAGAAAGAAAAAGTCTAGAAAGGGTAGAATCACAAGTACGATCTTGTTGTATAAGTCATCACATGCCTAATAGTCTTTTGAATTGTTAAAATGAGTCAAGGACATAATACTGTGAATACCACACAACTCTTCAAGCCTCATTAGACCGGATAATAAAGAAGCGTCAGATGACCATGAGGCAAATTTATAAGGTACCATTTAAAATTAAATTCTGATAGAGTAAAAGAGCTGTGGTATAAATGTAATTTTCTATCATTATAACCTGACCATAGATACAGGAAACAGTGATTCTCGACGTTGTTTCCAGCTTCAGTACCCCTTTCAGCAGATTTCAGAAACCAGGTACTTACTTTATTTGACTTCAACATTATGTAATTGTCCGTTGCTATTGTGCATGACCCATCTGTATTACTAATTTTATGTTTTTTACTTTTTAATCTTTTTAATTTGTTGTACACTGGAAAAAAATCAAACCTAGATAAGTAATTCTTTCTTAAAATAAGTGCATTTCTTCTTGGATTGAGGAGGTAAAAGATACATTTTGCCAACTGAACAAGACAATTTACATTTAAAATAAGAAAAAACAACTGCATTGTCTTATTTCAAGTGCATATTATCTAATTATTTTATTTTAAGAGTAAAAATACTCATTCCATTGGCAAACTATATCATTTACCTATTCAAATTAAGGGTAAATAACCTTAATTTAAGAACTTTTTACTTATTTCAAAATATTTTTTCCAGTGTATTTTTTATTTTATTTTAGAGAGTTAAAGTATTAGAAGGAAACAATCCTCGTTTTTGTGAATAAAGATGGCTTGAACCTGGTCAAGGGCCAATAGTGATAATGTTACTGACTGCTGGGCTAGCATGGATGCCCCAGGGCAGTGAGAGGTCTATATAAACATGTGTGCTGCAATTTCTGAGAATGGTGTGGCCATTAAAATCCTCAGGCTTGGCTCATACAATAAACAAAAGCTGCAATGTACTCATCTGCAAAA